TAATAGTAATGTTCGGAATCCCCACGCAATTAATAAATTTCTTTGGTCAAATTTTATGGAGGTTGTAGGGACCCAAAAATGCGCCCCCCCCCCCCCCCCCCCCGCCCCTTCCCAAGAGAAAATAGTGCGCATGCATTTCTATTGTTGTGAGATCACTAGGACGTCTTGCCATCTAGACCTGGGTATTCTCATTTACTAAAGCCCAACAAACAATATGCTGTCTAAAACAAGCTTCTATAGAAAGCACTGGAGTGATTTTTGAATTCAACGAATAAGAGGAGAAATTAGTAACGTTCCGCGGGGAGGCGGACTTTTTTTTTTTTTTTTTTACTGCGATCTTGAGGTGCATACGGGTATAGACTGAGGGTTTTTACATTATTCGCGAGATAAAATCTACGCATTACACAACGCTAGAAATGGTCGTTTATAACAACGTTGGAATCTATTTCAAGCACACGGTGAAGGTATGATGCGTTCGATATACACATATCGAAAGTGTTTCAAGATCACCCAAAAGATGGCGCAAGTGATTTATAGGCCACGTTTGCAATGCGATCTGCAAAAAGGGGACGAACGGGTCGATCGTTTTCAAGTGTCTCCGCCTTTCCACCTATTTTTCTTCTCGAGACGAGGTTGGTCGCAGCGAACGCAAACTTTCGACCGAACTACGGTTTGAGCTTGGGCCCTCTCTTCCGTCTAGGCTCTCTAGCATAAAGCACTTCGATCATATTTGCTACCCTTACGGTATAAAGAAAGGGTGACCCCCAGGCAAGAGCTGCAAAAACGAAATCAGATCCAGGTAAGATGACTTTTATGCCAGATACGATTATTCTAGTCCCGCTATCTTGGTTGTTCTTTACGGCCGTCTTTCTTATCTTCGTTGCACTCCTCGCTGGCTTCTCGCTGACCGACTTTGAACCAATGGGTAAAGATAGGGTGCCTTCATGTGCGCTTTGCTTGGGGTGATGACATCTGACCATTTTGTTTCGAACGCTTATTTTTATTTTTTGTTCTCAAGCGCGTGAAAGAGCGTATTTCGGCACGCGCTCGTGACGCTGACTATGCTAAGGCGACATTTTGTTTCCTGAGATTTCTGTTTTGTGTTTTCCCTGTGAGCGCGTGCTGTCGTCATCGGGTACCACAAACGATGGCATCACCCAAAACAGAAGGACATTGAGGCACTCTAGGTAAGGAGCTCGTGCTCAGCTCCTTTCGTTTCCGTAACCCCTAATACCCCGTGTTGAAAATTTCGCTTTGCAAGTAGCTACAACAGTTGTCTCGCGCACGCGCGAGACGCACGCCACGAGCGAGTGCTCCGCCTCAATAGACGCTTTACACACGCGCCAAATTACAGCCGCCATTGCTGACCTTCTCTTGTCTTACCGAGATGCCGAGCAACTGAAACGGTAGTTGACGATCCTCTACAAAGGCCGATGCTTTAGAAAAGGACACAGTTGAATCTAATGTGGCAATAACCTGGCCTGCTACGGTAATGGTGAAGTGAAATAAACGAAATAAGAGGAAACAAAATCTGAAGGTAAGTTATGGCGGCGTCCATGCGCAGCTGCTGCAAAGCGTCTATTAGCTTCCAAGGGCCGTTCCAGGCACGGGACTCGTCAAGGGTCGAATATGAGGCCACATTTAAACGGGTACTGAAACGGTTCTGTGTTTGAGAAAAGAACAATTCAATCGTCTTCACTAGCTTGGCGTCCAGGATCACGAATATTGAGATTCTGCTTTTAAATTTGGTGCATGGAGGCCGCAGAAAATTAATTTCAAAGTACCGCTGAAGCCCCTCCTTCCCAGAGCGTTACGTCATTTCCAGAGTTTTCGGAATCCCCGCTCTCGCACGTTGTCAGTACCTATCAACGTTGGTGCCTATCAAAGCTATGCATGCGCACCCTTCTATTATAAAAAAAAAGAGAAAAAAAAAGGTCAGAAAGAAAGTTTCTGAGTGGTGTCAGTGCGGGGAACTTTACCTGGCAAGCTTGCAATTCCCACACGAGCGATACGCGCTTTGGTGTCCGAAAGATCTTTTCATGACGTAACGACGGGTCGGAGGTTTTTCGTGCTTTCTCGCGTTTAGTTACATCTCCGGGAAAAACTAACGGGATATTCAGATTTACGGTATAAAAATACTCTAGAATTCACCTCTAACACGCTTTCTGCAAGAACCTCTTCAGATTCCCTTTAGGGCAAACAGCGGCCACACTCGATGGAAACGTAGTCGATTCCACTCATACGTAAATGTGCGAAGCAGCCTCACAAGTATTAAAAAGAAATGTGTTTTTTTCTCTTTGGTTTTTAGTTTTATTTTATAGAAAAAAAAGTTTCGTTCCAGTTCTGTTCCGGAACGAAAAAAAAAAAAAAGATCCGTAACGGTCCGTGACGGTTCGTGTTTGTATGCAAACAAATTCTAAACCAAAACTAAAAAAAAAAGAAAAAAATAAACGAAACATTTGTTTCGTTTTTGTAAAAAAGGAGGCCATTTAAAAAAGCTCAAGCACGTGCGCATTTATTGACACAATATAAAATTTAAGTATCTGGGTAAAATATACTACGAGGAAGAACGCTTTAACGCACTGAGCATGATTTCGGAAGAAGCACGTTGTCAAGTGAACTTGGTGAATACGAGATTTCCGTTCCGAGGAAATAAACTTCAGTGCCAAGAAAGCCTCTTCTACGCTGACCTGTATGGCTGGTACTCCGAGGACTACTTGTGGACTTTGCGTTCCCTTCGTTGTTCCCACCATTCTAATGCCTTCATGGTCCTTGGAAACCGTGGCTGCTTATCGAGCATTATGTTCAAGCATGTTATGTCCAGGGGGCATAGCTCACTCGTCAAATTACTACCCTTCAATAATGGCGGCACGCTGACTACCGTCTCCTCTCTCGCTGCATAGGACTAATACCGAAATACCCGAACTTTCCTCTTGACCCAAAAACCGATAAGAGATTTTTTTTTTCGGTTTCGCTTTGGTACAAAATAAATAGGGAGTTTCCGTAGATGGTCTTCGCCGTCCCGCAACGCTTCTCTGAACTCGCTACGATGCTCTACAGTCAAGGCCATCGACGCGCGGGCGCAGTAGCGGCTTCTTCGTCGCGGAGGTCTTAGCGGAGGCAGAAACGCGGTTTACGAAAACTCCCTAATGTTTCGATTACGTGTTTGTTCCGCCCAAAAACACCGTCTTTTTTTTCGGTTTTCTGTTTTGTTGTTGTTGCGTTCCTACACCCTGGCATCAAGAGAAGTGCCCGCCTGCCAATTCCGCCCACAGAGCGTGCCGAAGGCCAATCTCCGCCACCAACGGATCGGGTCAGCCCATCAAACGACGAGGTCCATGCAAAACACCCCCCGAGACTTGAACATTACCGGCACTGGGACGCTGGAAACGTGACATGTAGTGCTCGCCGTCCCAACGCCTTTTGTAAGTGTTTTTCTTTTATCTGGATCCCGTGACTCCCCGGACCGTCTCCGTAAATCGATGTGATTGATTCTCAGCTTGATCTGTGGAGAACAGAGACGAGCGGGCATTTCTTTCTACAGTACCGTGGCATCGTCTCGCACGTGACGTGCGCAGATATGATAGTTGTAAAAGGGACACTTGAACTAAGTCGCTTTTGAGTTGCTCACGGATGTCGTCGCACGGCGTCTTTGGGGCGACTAGCACCCAACCAAGTCCCCTCATCAGGCCTTCGCAGATCATTGACAAAGTGTGTTTCTTCAAAGTACAGCGTTAAAAACTAATCCCTTCGTAATGGTTCGCTTTCTTTCATGCATGAAATGATGGCGTCAAACCCGTTTCTCGTTTGTTTTGTTTGCTTCAAATTATGAGTGCCTAAAATTATTAAACCATTTGCATCAAAACGCTTCGGTCGTGAAACGTTTTGTCGCAAAAAATGAGTACGCTATAGGAACAGCTTACACGAAATGAAATGAGCCAATTTCTTACTACGAGACAGTGTTAATGAATTCACGAGTAGACGTAAGGTACGAAAGAACTGTAGTATTTGCTTCTTACTCATGCACCTTAGTACTTGCAGCCAGATTGCTGGAAGGAATCAAAACGCAAAGGGAGAACTGGCAAGTGAGAGACACGAACGGACCCAGCGATGAAATGTTGCACTGAGGCTGTTCCTTCGAGCAAACAGACCCAGCTTTTGGCGTCACTCAGAGCACGAAGAGAATTTAGACGATTTACTACAGAAATTGCTTAATATCTGTCATAGATTCTAACACTAAAGTGAGTGTGGTACTCCAACTTATCCAGTAGTCCTGCACTACTTGGCCATCTTCTAAGGTACGGAAAGTTCTTCCTCACACTGAGCCGTTAGGCAATGACATGACCGCTGGGGACAGAAATCGCGAGGGAGAGCTAGATAAAGAAGAATATATCTATCTATATTTGTTTTCTCGAATACGTAGACGACCTTAGATACCACATTGTGGTCAATACTTTTCGACGCTAGCAAGCGTACTTTCCCGCTAAGCGATGCGCTGACTAGTAATTAAAATCTATACTCGCACGCGACGTCGCGATGTATTCTTCAAAAATTACAGTCCATAGTTGCTTGGCTGGAATGGCAACCTACTTACTACTAAAGAAAAAGCGGTACCTGCGAAACAATCTCCATTCTCGTGGCCTCTTGGAAGTAACGGCAAATTAGGAATAGAGGTTCGAGCCTAGTCAACGATCAAACCAAGAAAAGGAGGTGAACACCGCAGCGGCTTTGAGGCCCGCCAAACGACGATCGAAAGCGGGCACACCCGTTGATAGCCACCGCTGGCGTTTTTCGTGTAAAGTCTCCGCACGACCGTTCTCAGGGGCGTCTGCGTTGAATCAGCACTCGATACCGGTCAGGCCTGGAATGCTACAGATCATCCGAAAGACACTGTCCCGGGACGTCTTCGAGTCCGCATCCCGGCCCGGGGTCCAGGAGACACGAGCAGCAGGACGTGCACTCCCGGGGACGGCGGCCCGAAAGCAGCTGCGGCGCCTCGGCTAGGAAGCGTTGGCATGGACGCGGAGGTGCCGGTTCAGGTTGCCCGACTGCGAGAAGCGGAGCAGGCAGAGCCGGCACTGGTAGGGCTTCTCCCCAGAATGGGTGCGCAGGTGTTTGGTGAGTGTGGAGCTGTCCGAGAAGGCCTTCTTGCAGAGGCAGCAGCGGTAGGGCCGTTCTCCCGAGTGCGTCCGCATGTGGGTGGTGACGGACGAGCTCTGCGAGAAGCGGCGCTCGCACACGGGACAGCGGAACGGCTTTTCGCCCGAGTGGGTGCGGAGGTGCGCCGTCAGGTTGGCCGCCTGCGAGAAGCACTTGCTGCACTGGAGGCAGCGGTACGGCCGCTCGCCCGAGTGCGTGCGCAGGTGCGTCTTGAGCGTGCTGGGCCTCGCGTACGCCTTGCCGCAGATGCCGCACAGGTTGACGCGTCCCGACGAGTCCGCCGCGCCCATGAGGCTGCCGCACTGCGCGGGGTTGGGCTGCTGCACCGGGGGCTCGCCGTAGCTCGGCCCCATGCCCCCGTAGACGACGTCCTCCTGCGGTGGGGGCAGAGGTGCAGGCGGGTGGTGGTACGGCGGTGCCGACGCGGTCCACTGCGTCGTGTAGCTGGGCTCCCAGCAGCTCACGCCCATGGTCATGTTCATGGACAGGTTCACACTCATGGACGTGGGGAAGACATGCGTCGGCGGAGCTTCGGCCGGGGCAGCCCCGTAGGGGCTGCCGCCGGCCGGTGGGGAGCTTGGATGCACCACTGCGTGCTTGAGGGACAGCAACACGTCCGCGATGGTGTCCCCCCTGCGCACGGAGCCACGTTGAAGCAGCGCTCGGAAACACCACGGTTCAACGCTTCCTTTTCGTACGATCGTTTCAATGTTTTAGCCAGATGACGAGTGAGTGATTTCCAATAATCACCTGATGGGTCTCTCTAGAGCGATCTTTGATGCGCCTTCTCTATGTTCGACAAATGTTTCGTTTCTCCTAAAAAGAAACGGGAGTGGCGGAAGTGACGATATCGCGTCTGATTGGCTGGAAGCTCAAATTACGAAAGTTACCACTTTCGCCATTTGAGCCTCTAGCCAATCAGACGCGATATCGTTACTTCCGTCACTTCAGTTTCTTTTAAGAGAAGCGAAACATTTGTCGAACATAGCCCTCCAGGTCTCAAGTCGCAACCTTTTGAAGTGGCTTCACCTTGTTATGATACACTGTGTGGTGAAAGCAACCGGGAATTTGAAGGAGCACTCGCGAACAACAGCGATGCGGCGGTTGCCTCCCGAAGTTCCGACAGAGCCAACGAGAGTTAAAAGAGCAAAGCGGTAAACCCGAACCCACGGCCTGCGGAGAAGATGCCCCCTCCCTCCCCTCCTCCCGGTCGCGGACATCTCGCCCGTGTTCCACATTAGTAATCATGTCACGTCAAGGTGGATGCGCCCGCAGACGGTTCGAGCTCGACGGTGCGAGTCACGTTGATGCGCGACGATCGAGCTGTGGGAGCCCATGAATGGTGAATGGTCTGCCATGCTTGCTTAAGCCGGATTAACACTGATTATACATCATACAAAGGACAGTCTGCATACAGAGCCAAACGCGAGTCACCGCGAGGTCTTTGCTTCGAATGCCGCATGGCAATGAGTTCAGGGAGAAAACTTGAGCACGCGGCGTTCGAAGGACGGATATTCCGGTAACTCGTGTTTGAAGATTGTCTTTCGTATGATGTACGATCAATGCGACACCGGCTTTAGGCAGACACTAAACAAATAGGACCAATTGTGGACTTATCGCACGAAAGTCTGACCAGATATTGGCATTAATTAGGGTGCCTACATGACTGTTTGTCTCAGAATAAAGACACCCTTTGTTGCACTGAGTGGGCCAGCCCTTGACGCGCTGGCACACTCGGTGCGTTACTTATGCGACAAATGGCGTCTAAGCATTAGCCAAGGCTACGCGCTCGAACAAAGTCCAACCGGATTGCGATAACTTAAAAACACACACACAAAAAAAAAAGAATAACGATTTGGTGGGAAAATGGCCGAGATGTCACCACTTGGAGGACCACTGACAACCCCAAGATTATTTTTTTTTACCGTCTCAGACGTTCCAAAAACGCGTGGCAAAATACAAAAAAAAAAAAAAAATCGAAAAAAAATTTCGCGCGCGAAAGAGTTTGGTAAAGTTTGTGTCCTCCTCCCCCAATTTGAGCTCGGCTTCGGATCTTGTTTTGGTGATGCCATTGGAGAAGGCATTTTTCCAAATGTAAAAAGGTGTTGCAAACTTCATGTCTGTAATAATTATAACTAACTGTCATTTGTAAAATACGTTTTTCTTTTCACAACTTCGAAAAACAAATATTAGAGACCGGAAGAGTTAAGACGAAACATCGGCAGTCTCCTAGCTTTTTCTTAATACTCTTAATATGGCGGCACCCGGCGGCTGTGCTGAAGGCGTTGAGAGGAATGCGCTCGACGGAGAAGTCGAGGGAGGCTCAGACATGTTGTTTTCGGTGCCGGATAACTTATCGGATAACATTTAACACGGCACCTTTGCGACATATTGCCCCTCACGTAGCTCGCCAATGTATAGTGGACGACAGCGCTTTCCGAAAGTGACTCAGCGATTCAACATGCAGAACTGTGATGGGTTATAGCGGGGCAGGAAGTCACCGATAAGTAAAGCCCCTTCATGTTTCAAAACTAGCGCAAGGAGCGTCGATGCACGAGGCACGTGCCACGTGCAGTCCTTGGGAAGATCATGGCGGCACAGTGCAGCACTGAGGTAGATTTCAGACAACACGTTCTTACCAGAAACGGCGTGCGGCAGGTGTCTCGAGCAATTCTACAGCAATGAATGGCGCCACTTTTTCCAGGATAGAGGGGCTTTATTGATAAGCAGAGCCGTTTATTGGGAGAGTTTGTCCATACATTGGTTCGAATAGGCGAGCGTCTCGGGGCAAACCACAGGCCTCGAAACAGCCCCTAGCGGTGGTCGTGAGCTCTAAATATGCGACACGACTAATTTAAGCCGTTTTAGCGTCGCTAGAGTGAAAAGGTATAACTCTCGGTGACTGAAAGCTTGGCGCATGTGAGGTTTTCGTCACGTTCATATTCAACGGTAGAATAAAAAAAACGTACCCTCCAAACCAGGGCCCACTTGCTAGAAACAGCGCCTCAGCTGAAACTGGGGAAAAGAAAGCACTTGAAAGCACTGCCAAAGCCAGCGCACGAGCTGAGCGGGACTCAATCTGCGTCTCGAGACGCTCGCGCGCTCCAGCCTTTACACTGTTTTCTATCAGCCAGTCTCAGCTGAGCCGCTGTTCTACCAAGCCGGCCCAGAAAAAACTGTAGCCGAGACGCCGAGATTGAACGCTTCGATTTCACGTTTTAAATGTCGTTTGCAATATTGTGATGTTGCGGTCTGATTGGTCGACGCTGTGTCACCCTTTTAGTTTACGCTCTAACAACGGCTCCTTTCATAAGTAGACAGCAGCGCCACCTAGCCCTGCAGTGAATGGAAGGTGAAAGAAATACATCAAGGGGCTTTACCAGCCCACCCTATAGCTTTACTGCAGCCTGTCTTCACTGCATCGAGCTAAAGGTGCCGTTCCCAATTTCGTTATGGCTAACAAGGAAATATATATTGTGCTTCACTTCACAACTGGGATAAAGGTAAACGACACTTCCAATTTGAAGTCATCCCAAGAGGCAGAAAGCGCACCATTTCACCAATTACGTCGTAGATTCGGGTGGGTGATTCTAATCTAGCTTTATGAAAATATATTTTCCCTACAAATACACAGTTCTCAAGCTTGTTATCTTTAGGGTAAGCCTAACGAATTATTTTCAGTTGTTTGCAATAAAAAAAAATATCGATGTTGCGGTTGTCAGTTGTGCGTATGAAGGTACTTTAGCACCGATACGATAGAATCGGTCGTATGTCGGGAGCAGTAACAGTGATTAAACATTGCATTCATAACTTCCGCATGGAAGTTTTGCACCCTCGCTGTACTTGAATATTGGAATGTTGAAGGCTTTTATGGAAAGATATACGAGTCATGTGGACCATTTGCGAGTGGAAGCCGAGAAGGCTCATATGAGGGGTTTCGGTGATTTCGCGCGACTTCGACACAAGACTCGAGGATACTTTGATGGCAAGGAGTCCGTAGATTTCTGTAGGGAGTTGCCAAGCGTGTCAATACAGCAGCTCTGCACGATAACCACCAAAAACTGTCTGCTGAAGAGACCTTAAATGGGCGATGCAACAATTTTTGTACTTTGCTCAAATACCACTTAGAACGGATCCCTGACGTTAATGACTTATGAAACACGCGTTCGTTTTTCACCCCGCGCAATAGAAGTCCTAGAAAAAAAAATTAAAGAAAAACGAGCAGCGTTCACTCCCTCAACTCGCAGCCAGAACAAGCGGCCACGTGATCTGGAGCCGATTATATGCCGCCAATGTTGATCATAGCCACGCGCTGGGGTTGGCAAAGCACAGGATACGCGCTGAGTTCCAGACATTGTTAGGGCTCGGCTATTGTCGTCGTTGCAGCGATTGGACACGGGCCACTTCCCGGATGCTTCTCGAGCTAGTAATTATCACGAGCCCGAATCGAGTGCCCACGCAATGCTCGGGTCCAATCTATGAACCACATTAAAATATCGTCATTGGGGTGTACTGCGATCCCCACGTCACGTCATCGAAATTTGCAAAGGAGAGATGGAATGAAAATGATCGCTTTTGTCCTTGAAATTACACCGCAACAAAGGAGTTTCTTGGCCAGTGGCGTTGCGTGCGAGTATCCTTGAGTCCCACTAGTGCCAGCAAGCTCGTGTAAAGGGAAAAACATTCCAATTGAATATCGTTGCACCGCTCATTTAAAGGGTGGTGTGACCGACAAAGTAGGCTGCTCGAGTGCTGTAACTGTGGAAAGGGCAGTAGCTCATTACCAGTGTTTCGGAGTATTCCATCACGAAGTTTACCACAGTTAAAGAAACTGAGCTTGTCACGGTGCATCTCTCCGTTTTATGACGTCAGTGTTGTCAAATGTACATCTGCGCTTGCAAGAGTCAACAAATGTGGTTAGAAGGCTAGGGTCACTATCGTAAGTTGTTTATTGACGGTACATCAAGGCACCTTCAGAGGGGTAGTTAAAATGAGCGAGGGACATGGAGAACATAGACTGTCTGTTTCATGTGTCCAGGTTTTGTTAGAAAAAATTAGAAGAGCCTTACGTCCCTTGGATTTACGCACCGTTTTTGAGCCGTTTTACACTTCGGTAAATGCTTTTAAAACCAAAAACCGTGCCCATGTGGAAATTAAAAAAGGGCTTGTATATAATTTGCATTGTGGTGATTGCGACGTTATGAACAATGTCAAAACAGGCAGAAAAGGGGCAACAAGACTGAAAGAACACTAATGGCACACAGAAAAAGCCATGCACTCTACTCGCACAAAAACCTAACTGATCAAACATTGCTGGACGATGGGACAGACATTCATCTTGAACAATAGAACGCCTTTAATACAAACACAAGGTTGGGGACCAAGAAAGTTCCTGGAGTCCTGACTCACTTTTCGCGCCTCATTGGTGTACAACAGCAACTGCGGCACCGCAGAATACATTTAAGAGCACATGTGTTGTAAATAGTGATTTACTGACCTCAAGTCTCATTTCTGTCAGTGTATGCTTTGATGTATGGCAGTTAAAGGGGCAGAGGCAACATCTTCCCGCTCTAATTCAGCGTTTTTTAGAGGTTTTACGTTTGTGGCATTCCAAGCGTTGTGTCGCCACTGGC